CACACACACACACACACACACACAGGTGATCCTCTCTGACTCAAACGGGACGCGACCCAAAACCTCAATACCAAACACACACACACACACACACACACACGCGCTGTGTGCGAAATTTCGCTGCCAAAAATGTCGGCTATATCTACGTTGTGCATTAATACAATAACAGCATTATTTGTTTGTCTTCCAGTTAAATGCGGCCTATTTCCATGATAATGTCCTAGCAGGATCCTGCCTCACTCCTCCTCTCGTCTCAGCTCGTCTCTCTCGGTGTTTTCTCCCACACACACACTACTGTCAGATTCCCCACCTCCTCCTCATCCAGGCCTCCGCCGCAGAAAACAACAGCTCGCGCAACAACCGCGCGTCTCCATAGAAACCATGCAGTGGCCGCTCTCAAATATCTAAAACGAAATAATCAGGACAGAAATACAGGTCAGAGGTCATAAAACCAGCGTTCACAGACTTTCACGGTTGAAAGTTGTGGTAAACCCCTCAAATGTTGTGTTCGTAACCGTTCGGAATGTCGCCTCATGATGTTAGGTTCTTTATTGGAATCTTTAACATCCGTGGAATCTTTCCATTGCGCAAAAGGTCCTTTATAGTGAACAAGGTTCTCCAAATAATTAAAATGTTGTTTTATAAATGGTTAAAATTTATAAATGGTTAAAATGGTTATTTTAAGAACTGTTCACTGAACAGTGCAAAAGTACTATTGCTGTGAAATCACCTGTATTTTTAAAAGTGCGTTGGTGGTTTAGATTGGTCATATTCTTACAGAATTTGAAAAAAATGTTCAGAGAGTTATGAACACCCAGAGCATGAACATGTTACCCAGAGGAGACAGAAAGAGATGCGGGAGAACATTTGGGTTTGGACGCTAAAATACTTTGACAAGAGGAGGAAGAGAGAGAGACAATCCCTCTAAGAATAGCAGAAAATCTGTGACGCTGAGGAACATGAAAAAGATTAAAAGTCTGTTATCCCACAGACAGAAGGAAAAACAAAGATAATTCAACCAAGACAACTCATCAATGGCCGAGAACACAAGAGCGCCTTCTGATATCCATCATGTCTGGACTAATTTGGACTGAATTTCACTTGACATCAATCTGAAGTGAATATAATCGCAGTGACAGGCTCACATCTTCTTCCTCCTCCTCCTCCTCCGTTATCCGCCGGTCACCCACATGAGCGCGAGACCGCTCGGAGATTACCGCGTGAGGGAAGTCAAAACGGAGAGACCGGAGGGATTAACCCGCGAAAACTACAAGAAAACACAAGCCGCTGGTAATGTCGTGTTAAACATGGGTGTGCTTGGGGAATAGAAGAAAGAAAGAAAGAAAGAAAGAAAGAAAGAAAGAAATCAGGACGAGCGAACGGACTGCGCGTTTACCGCCAAAACACCAAGTGACCGCGAGCAGAAGACAAATTTACGGGAAAAACGTTTACAGATTAGATATTTGCTTTCATACGGTGAGCAATTCTTCATATCTTTATTCATGTGTGTAGTAAGTTTGTCTGATGATACAAATGTCTGAATCGCTATTAAAGTTTTTTCCCCTAGTTTATTTCCATACAACATTCATGAGGAATTATTTTACTGGCTTTTTTAATGACGATGTTGCTGCATATAGTGTAAAATAGGTCCTATATATGGTCAAACAATCTGCGTAATTTACGACAATATGCCGATTTGCCCATTATTATTATCGTTATATTGTTTTAAATAGGAGTCATGTAGAAACACAAATCTATGTTATAAATTATAGCCCACTTTATGTATGTTTTACATTTCTTAAATTAACTAGGCTATAATTTCTAACTTTCAATTGTAGCTAATACAATAGCTATATGGCAATAAACACATTTAAAGGACTGACTTGCAGATCAAATCGATGGCGGATGGGCAGATGAGGGGAGGATAAATGCGGCTGAAACAGAGAAAAGAAACTTGATGTTTTAATGAAAAGAGATTATTCAATGTTTGAGATCACGCACTGATCGCGCGCCGCATCTGGAGCTCTACCGGATTTCCCGCGCGCGCCGAAACGTACCTGCGCGTCATATTTTATGTCACAGTCTCAATCCCGAACATTTGCTGCATGACGAAACCCCTGCGGTCAGTTCGAAGTCATTAAAAGTTTTCTGATGAGTTTCACACTCTGTTTACTACAGAACACTCTAGTAATTAACGACAAAGCTGTTCAAACTGAAAGCGCGCGAAAATGGAGTTCTGTGGCGCGGCTCTTTCGCAGCGCGGGAACGCGTCTCGGGCAGTTTCCAGAATCTGCCGCGTGACTGCATTTGATTCCCCCGATCAATACGAGCTTAATGCACTGACAAAAACAAAATGTTTCCACACTTACAGAAATGTACCACGGTTTTACTATAGTTATAGTTTGGACACCACCTTTGTATTTACATACAGTGCCATGGAAATACTGCGGTATATGTGAATATGTTAATCATTCAGTACCACTGTATATGTCAAAGTATCACAGTATTTTTGTGATATAATAAATGATCAAGAACAGCACTTTTTTTGTAATAGTATAAATATGGTTCAAACCGTCAAAAGTGGTTGTAAAAAGTCTATAGACTTACCCAAAACACACAATGCTATTTTTCAGCCAATATGCCAAACTACAGTGGCCACAAAAAGTGAATCTGAATACCGAAATCACGCTTACGTCAATTGTATCATTTATTGTAAATAAACATGCACAAACTAAATATATAGTCAGATGGTTGTTGGTTTGAAATGCTATAACATTAGATGTTTAAGATGACAACATTGGTGGATTATGTTAATGTGAGTTAGTGTGTGGAACTACAAACAATTGATCTTGGCACTATCAATGCCAACAAGGTCATGGGTTCAGTTCCCACAGATGAACCGATTAAATACATACCTTGAGTGTCTGCCGAGTGCATGAAGGTAAACATCAGCAAAACACCAGCTGTTACTGAAGAGAAAGATCCTGCAGCCTTTGAGATACAGACACTTGATCCAATGAATGGCGTCAGACATGAGAAAATGTGACTTGAGGTGATTAAATACTTGTTTGGGACCACTGTACAAACACAATAAATAAAGCCTTATGAGAAAATGAAATGACACAAAATCATGATTTCTTCAAGTTCTTCAGACAAATTCTTAGTGAAGCACATTAAGAGCTTCATCATTTATCTAGTAAAGAATATTAAATATATAAGATTAAATCTGCTTGAGTCTGAACTCACCTTCTGTCAGTGTGTGTGTGTGTGTGTGTGGTGCTGTCATATTAATCCCACACACACACACACACGGACAGACGGACGTCTCACATTACAGCGCAGGATCTTCAGGGCTCATTTTTCTGGATCTGCATCATATCACTGTTAAAAATGAGAGATGAAGAGATTATTCAAATATAATTTACTGGATTAGGAATCAAGAAAGAAACGTCTCCACACACACACACAGACACACACACAGACACACGCAAACACACACGCACACGCACACACACACACACACACACAGGTGATCAGGGATTAAGTGTGTGTGTGTGTTTATGTTGTGTAACAAAGATTAAGTCCATTTTCATTGTAAAGAGCAGTTATTGAGTCACATGCATCTGTCCTGTTGACGTCTGCATCTCCCACAATCCCACTCTCTCCTCAAACTATTTAATATGTCATTTAAATTGACAATTCATCACAAGACATACTAATCTTTTCAAACAGTAGCTTAGAGGTGTGTGTGTGTGTGTGAGTATATGAGTAGTATGAGTGTATTGTAATGAGACCATAATCATGAGAAACAGAAAACTGCCCTTTAGATATAATACGTCTCCACACACACACACAGACACACACACAGACACACGCAAACACACACGCACACGCACACACACACACACACACACAGGTGATCAGGGATTAAGTGTGTGTGTGTGTTTATGTTGTGTAACAAAGATTAAGTCCATTTTCATTGTAAAGAGCAGTTATTGAGTCACATGCATCTGTCCTGTTGACGTCTGCATCTCCCACAATCCCACTCTCTCCTCAAACTATTTAATATGTCATTTAAATTGACAATTCATCACAAGACATACTAATCTTTTCAAACAGTAGCTTAGAGGTGTGTGTGTGTGTGTATGAGTATATGAGTAGTATGAGTGTATTGTAATGAGACCATGATCATGAGAAACAGAAAACTGCCCTTTAGATATAATCAGATCACTTCACTGTCATTTACAGTGTCATGAAGCGACAGCAAACACAATATAAAATACACAATAAACACACAACCTACAAAATGTACAAGTTCACTCTAAAAACGGGAAGAGCCTAAATTTTTTTTGAGTTATGACAGCTTCTAATGAAATTATGTTTAACCAACAAACACTTAATTTTTTAGCACAAATACAAATTTTAAGTTGATTACTCGAAATAATGTTGCTCCAAATTGTTTCAACTTAATTCAAATGAACTGTTGGCCTTGGAACCAATTAATCTGATCTACGTCAGTTCAAATCAACACCGACACCATGTAAATTTGACCAGTAAGTAAGATATTGCTTGTCACATTAGCTCTACTCTTCAACACAATGGTAAAAACGTTAACCCAACCTAACAGAAACTCTTTTAAATGTCAAACATAACAGCATTAAATACTAACAAGTCTTCCCTTCACTAAAAATACATTAAACAAGTTAATTTTAACATTTAATCTCCTTATCTAATCCTATGCAAAGCATGCTGGGAACTAGAAATCCAATGGACAATTTCTAAAGATATCAAAACAATTTCATTAAGTTACTACAACTTACATTTCAATACAGATATTTCAGGTTAAATTGCACACACTATTAAGTTAATGTAACGATCAACATTATGTCAACAGAACTCAAAATCAAAATAATGTTTGCAACTTCTGTTTTAATTAAATGCATGATTGGAAGATAAAAAGAAAATCTAATTTATTAAGTTGCAGCGATAGATCCCCCAAATTACTTTTTAGAATGTATTTTATATATTTCATACAAAATAAGACCAAATATCCAGCACTACAAACACAATGACAAACTCTAAACACATAATACAATTATTTTGACATTCAGATTAGAAGTTATCAATCACTGCACAGATTTACCCAATCAAACATGAGTATTTTTATTCAAATAATTTTTAAATAAAATTAAAAAAATATTTTCTACTTAAAAATTATTATATTTTAATATACTCTTATTATACACATATATATATATATATATCATATATCACATATTCTGTCATTTAAATGTACAGATGTTCAGATTAAATGTTTAAATACTTTGGAGCCACTTTATATATAAACATAAATGTTATATGTACATTTGAATCTAAAAATATAAGTCTAAATATAGAGCTGAACATTTAGAGAACTTGCAAATCAGTGATGGCTGTTAGCCTACATCTGAGTGTATGTGTGTGTGTGTGTGAGTGTGTGTACGTGTGTGTGTGTGTGTGTATAATAGTGTTGTGTGTGTGTGTGTG